CATACATATAGATATGCACGAATAGATCTAGCTAGCTATATATACAGTATATGCATATGGACTACAACTACAGATCCTGGATGCTGTAGTCTATTAAAAAAAGTAACTTCCCCTAGAGAGAGAGAGAGAGAAGAAAGAGAGAGAACGCTAGTTAGATCTAGGCTGGGCTGGGGGCGTGTTTTTCTAATGGACTACAACACCCAGTATCCTCTAGCCATCCTAGCTTGGTGTTGTAGTCCATATACAGATTATACATATGGGGTGGGGAGAGATCTATTCATGCATATATGGACTACATCACCCAGAATCCCCTGGCCAGCAGCGGATTCTGGGTGTTGTAGTCCATATGCAGAAAGAGTGAGAGAGATGTATGTGTGTATATCTATATCTTGGCTGAGCTAGGGGAGGGATCTTGGTCCTGGAGGGAAAGTTGCTTTTTTAAAATGGACTACAGCATCCAGAATCCCCGAGACAACTTAACTGGCTGGGAGATTCTGGGTGTTGTAGTCCACATGCAGATAGATTAGGTTGGGCTGGAGAGGAAGTTACTTTTTTAAATGGACTACAGCACCCAGAATCCCCCCTGCCAGCAGATTCTGAGTGTTGTAGTCTGTATGCAGGGAGAAAGAGAAAGATCTATTTATTCATACAGAGAGAGAGAGAGATCTAGATCTAGGCTGGGCTGGGGGAGGGATCTAGGTCCTGGAGGGAAGTTACTTTTTAAAAATTGTAGTCTGTATGCAAAGAGAGAGATCTGGGCTGGAGGGGAAGTTACTTTTTTTTAAAAATGGACTACAACACCCGGAATCTGTACTTAGTTGTAGCCCATATGCATAGTGAGAGAAGAGAGCAAGAGCTAGATCTTCCCTGGGCTGTGGGAAGATTATTTATAATATTTATTATTATTATTTTTATAATATTTATTATTTTTTGAGATCCACATACATACACCCAACATCCAACAAAACTCATATATTACATCCCCTTATACATATTCCATAAAAGAATAACGCTTCTAATACTCAAACGACTTCCTTTTCTTATCTTACTGGTATTCCTCCATCAAAAATGTTCTTTCTTTTCATTCTTTTACAACATTCTCTATTTCCTTTCTCATCTACTTAACTTTCCAAAAATTAAGAATGTAACTGCTGATTTTCCCCAGTTTTCCTTCCAAAATTGTATTGCCTCTATCCATCCTTCTTCTGGAATTTTCCCTTCTTTAATCATTTTCTCATTAATGAAAAAAATAAAATCAAGAAATTCCTAGGGTAGAAGACTGACTGATAAAAATTACATGATATGTTAAGCTTGGATATAAATTCATATTTCTGAATCATGCTCAAAATGGAGGACTTTTTGACATTCCTCCTGGACAGAAGATTGAAATGTAGGGCATGTCCTGGAAAAAGAGGACATCTGGTCAACCTGGCCAGACAATAAATAAAACCTGAACTTTCCCTAGAAGCCAAGATGACTAAACTGAGGCTGTCCTTCTTTGGAAACACTATAATAAGAGAGGACTTACTAGAAATGACAATAATGTTTGGAAAGGTAAAATGCAATGGCCTAAATAATAATAATAATAATAATAATAATAATAATAAATACCCTAAGGGCACTGGATCCCATCTCTGATCCTGGAAGTTAAGCAGGATCAGTTAATACTTGGATAGGAGACCACCAACATAATAATAATAATAATAATAATAATAATAATAATAATAATAATAATAATAATAAATTAATTTCTATGCTGTCTTTCTCCCCGAAAGGGACCCAGGCCAGCTCACAAATAAAAACTCTTTAAAAACTTATTTCAATAAATGTATGGTGCTATTTATGATAGTTCTAGATTTATGTTATATTATGTTATGTTAGTAGTTAGTGTTATTGTCACTGAGTGTATGTATATAAATATATGTGTACGTATTTATTTGTATAAAATAAAAATAAAATTAAAAAAAACCTTATTGCAATAAAACAGTTAAAACATCTCATAAAAACAATATAAAATTACAAACATTAAAATCACAATATAACACACACACTCCCATATTAAAAAGCCATCACAAAGACTAGTAGATCACAAAGATATCACAAAAACTAGTAGATTACAATGACTAGTACAGTAGGTTGGTTGTTGCGTGCCTTTGAGTCGTTTCTGAGTTACAGCGGACCTATCGTGGGGTTTTCTTGGCAAAGTCTGTACAGTGGAGGTTCGCGAAATAAAATCTTGTTTTGCCTTTTGAGGCTGAGAGAGTGTGACTTGCCTAAGGCCACCCACTGGATTTCCATGGCCGGGCAGGGATTTGAACCCAGGTCTCAAGAGTCATGGTCCAATGCTAAACCACTATACTACACCGGCTCTCAACCGTTAGAATAATAATTATTATCATTCCTTTACAGCACTTATTGTTTGATAATAATTATTTGATTATCTGATAATAATTATTTGATCATAATTTTTATTTTTTATTATTATTATTATTATTATTATTATTATTTCTTACCTGCCTCTCCTGCCTGTTGATCAAGGCAGGGGGCAACACCAATTAACAAATACACAACATCAGTTAAAAACGCATCAGTTAAAATATACACCGATTTAAAAGGGCAAATAAATCAAGATTATTTACATACATCAGCCCACCAGGCTTTTGCATGCAACCGTAAAACAATC